GGAATGAATTTACATCCCAAGAGTAATCCCTCAGCCTGACTCATCTCAGCCCAAGGCCCATGTGCAGTCCATAAATATGCAAGCTTGCTGAGCCACGGGGCTTAACTGTACCCATCTGGTGTTCTGGGGTTCTTTCTGAGAGAGGGTTGATGCACAGTACTCATCATTTCTATGAGGGAGGCCATTGAATGCCCCCCAAAGGCTCCCTGAGCCTGAGTCACAAGTGAGGATAGAGCAGAGTGGAGCAAGGCCAGAGGGGACACAGGCCTGAGAGAATGAGAGGGCCCTGAGCCCTCGTATTGTGGCCCCACACACACTGCCCCCCCCCCCCCGGCTACTAGCATGACAGAATCCCAAAGCTGGAAGGGGCTTTAGAGATTATCTAGCCAGACCTTCCCATTTTGCAAATGAGGAAACCAAGTCTCAAAGGTATTAAATGAATGGCCCTAGTTCATGTAAGTGGCAAGTGGTAAGCTGGGAATGTGAACAAATGTCACCTGACCCCTAGAGCAGAGGGCTCATTCCCTTCCTCCCCAACCAACTGCAGCTCTAGAGAGAGATGCACAGATACCACCTTGCCCCTTTTCAGTTCCACTGAGAGAAGCCTTTAAAAATGATGCTCATGCTAAAATTGGCTTCACTCTAACATATAATATGTCCTAGGTACTCTGTGCTGTCTGGTGTATTGCCTGGCAAGCTCTGTATGAGAAACGGGGACCTGACTCCAAGTTCTGCTGGCTTTCTGTAACTCCTTTAGTCACCATCAATTATCACCTTAATGAGAACAGCTAGAGAGAAACGTGCAGTCTAGACAACTGCTGTGCTAATCCTTACCTCTGGTCATTATTGAGGCAGCTAGCTAGGTGATACAGTGCTTGGACCTGAGTTCAAATGTGACCTCAGACACTTACTAGCTGTGTGACCCTGGGCAAGTCACTTAGCTTCTATTTGCTTTAGTTTCTTCAACTGTAAAATGGGGATTATAACAGAATGTACCTCTTGGGGTTGTTTTAAGGATCAAAAGAGATATTTATAAAGGGCTATGTCTCGCACACAGAAGGTGCTATATAAATGCTAGCTATCATCATCATCATCATCATCATCATGATGGTATACTGTGTGAATTATATGGGCTAAAGGTTGTCTGCTACACATGCCAGAGATGACATTCTGCTTTATCACAGTAATGATCGCAAGGCTAAAGAGGCAGAAAAAAGGGCTGTGAAGATGTTAACCCAAGTCTCATTAGCATATCAATGGCAGCCTTGTCAAAGGCTCCTCTCAAACTTGAGAAGAAAGAAAATTAAACTACAACATTTGATGAAATAATTACCCAAGATGTGCCCTATATCCCACAGTCTCCTCAGGAATCCCACTTAGTGAACTGGACCTTCATTCAGACTGTCCATTTGAAGGACAATACCTTCCATCCAGATGGGGGCAATCAGAGAGGGAAGGCCTTCAGACTAGAGCTGTTTAGCCTGCAGGAGAGAAATGTGATGAGGAGGAGGGGCACAAAATAGCTGAGTTTGGGTACAGGAAGGGTGTGTGTGTGTGTGTTTGTGTGTAGACACATATATGGCCTTCCTATACTCAAATTAATATATTTAAATGTATACTTGAGTAGATATGTACTCAAATATAGCTACAAATGCATATATTTAAATATTTTTGAGTATATATTTTTGAATATACATATATTTTGAGCATATATACATAAAAATAAATACATATGTGTAGAGACACATATACATTCTTCATATACTCAAATTCATATATTTAAATATATACTTGAGTAGATACATACTCAAATATAGATATAAATGCATATATTCAAATATGTATTTTTGAATATATACACACACATAAAAATTAACACATACATACATGTGTATGTGTGTGTGTATGTGTGTGTATATGTGTGTGAATTAGCTTTTTTTTTTCTGCTTGTCCCCAGAGAGTTGAGCTGGGCATTGTGGGTAGAAATTATGTAGAGGTAAATTTGGGCTAGATTTAACGAAAAACTGACTAATACTAAGAGGAAAACAATAGTGGAATGGGCTGCCTTGGGAGGCTGGGTTTCCCTCCCCCTTCAGTAAAGGTCTGATGACTACTTCTGCCACAGCTGTACAGGTATCTCTGTTTCAGCTACCCTTAGGGCAGATGGCCTCTGAGGTCCCTTCCAGCTGGCAGATTCCACAGAACAGGGTTATAAGACCTTCTTTAGAGATGGGGAGGATGGCCTGGGCCTGCAAGGAATTCTGGGAATTGGAGTTTTTCCACTCACCTTCTGAGGCAAGGAAATGGTACATGATTTGAGACTGGGGCAAGAGAAGCCTGGGAAAAAGAAGAGAGGTACACCTGAGTCCAGGCCATTCTTCCACCATCTAGAGGAGGTGTGACATGGCCATGCGCGTGCCATGGGCTCCACGATGCCAGTAGTTAGTACTTGCTACCCAACAGTTTCAGTTGGCATCATTTTATTTTGCTGTGTCCCAGACGAAGGTGTACCAGGCTATACTTACTCTATCTCTCTTCTAACCCTTTTTCTTTCATATTTTCCACTGGAAGCTTTATTCCAATGACCAAATGTATGCATGAGTTGGGGAATACGATGTTGCAAACAGGAAGCATTTCTTGGGCCTCATTGTCATTTACTGTTTATGTCCCTTGAGTTACATGTATCAAGACAAGTCCCAAATATATCAGCAGCCAGTACAATGTTGATGTTGGGAATACCAGTCTGTTGGTAGGCATTCTGTGTTACAGTGTTATTCTGCGTATTCATTCACTCCGATACTCCATTACTTTACAGCAAAGCTTAGGTGCTGCCTCCTACATGAGGCATTCCTCGATTGCCCCTAGTTGGTGAAATTACTTGGTATCTACTTTGTATTTGGGCAGCTAGGTGGCTCAGTGGATAGTATACCAGATCTGGAGTCAGGAAGACATGAATTCAAATCCGCCACAGACACTTAGCAGCTGCGTGACCCTGTATGGGTAAGTCACTTCACCCTGTTTGCCTGAGTTTCCTCATCTGTAAAATAAGCTAGAGAAGGAAATGGCAAATCACTCCAGGATCTTTGCCAAGAAAATTCCAAATGAGGTCACAAGGAGTGAGACAAAAGCAAGCAACAACAACTTTATATTTAGTTATCTGTGTATTCTCCGAGCCCTCTCCCGACCTCCAATTGAATATAAGCTCCTTCTATATTATGTTATATTATGTTATGTTACGTTACGTTACGTTACGTTATATATTATTATATATGTAAGTAAGCAGGCATTGCTTGCTTTTGTCTTTGCATCTGAGGGCCTAGTTCAAATCCCCGGTACTTAATAATAGTTAGTATTTATGCAGTGAGGTAAATTTAGCAAAGCCCTAATAGGCACTTAATAAGAATTGGCTCATTTTAATTCTGAAAGAGTTTGGTTCAAGCCTAGCCCTGGAAGCTTTCTACATTTACAGTGATCCATTGTATTTACTTCTGGAGATTTGGAGATAGAAGGAAGCTTAGAGACATCTTGTTGGACCCTCTTATTTTGCAGATGAGGAAACTGAGGCCCAGAGTGTCTAAGTAACTCGCCCAGGGTTATTCAAGTAACAAGGGGGCAGAGCCTAGATCTGAACCCAGAGCCTCCAACTCCACCCCCCCCTTTCCACTGTACTAGAATATGCCATACAGTATACAGAGGCATATATACAGAGAAGAGAAGCTATTTATTGAGTTCATTGTCTGGTCAGACATTTTATATTGGGGTTTTACCCTGTAAGAAAACAGTAAATGGACTGTTGGGTTGGGATTTCAGAGCCTGGAGATGCTTCCCAATATCTTTGCTACCTGTTGGCTAATGTTGCCATATGAAATCTCTGGCTTAAGGCACTGGATGGAATCAGGAGAGACTAGAGTTCAAATCCTCGTTGGAACCTTCCTAGCTATGTGACCTTGGGTATAACACTTAATCTCTCCAAGACTCAGTTTCCTCACTTGTAAAACAGGGATAATCATGTTTTCGTTCCCTAGCTCATGGGGATTGTTAGTAGGAAGGTCTGCTAGATGCCTTAGAGTGTTCTAGAAATGGGAATTGTTCTTTTCAAGGACACAATGTAAGTTGGGAGCAGCAATGTTCCAAGGGATTATTAACTACTGACACTTTAATGTGAGTGAGATCACAAGAGACAGGGACAGGACTTGTGATTTCATTAGTTTTGGACTCCTGGATCAGAAAACTCCCTCTGTCAAAGCCAGTTGGTACAGTCTTAGAGAACTTTCTGGGGCTTTCCTGGTTCCCAAAATTCTCTAACTGCTGGGCTACATCACCCTCGCTAAATGAAACTAAGATCCCCCCTTTTCTTGAGAGCAAGTTTTGATTCAGGTAAGGGGCAATGGAGCACCTCTTTCTAGACTGATTTTATATGACTCCCTTCACACATTCTGTGTTCCAACCAAACTGGCTGACTTGCTCTTCCCCAATCATGACATTTCATCTCCCACCTCTGTGACTTTGCACAGGCTGTGCCAAACCAACCCTATTCATCTGTGCCTTTTAGAAGCCCTAGCTCTCTCCCAGGCTCAGCTAAAGTGCCGCCTCCCAGATGCTGGAATCTGATCTCTCTAGTTGGCGGACCCTTTGAAAAGTCTTGATATTTATTCATATGTATTTTGTACTGACTTACCTATGTACATGTTTATTTTCCTCCCAGTAGAATGAAAACTACTTGAAAGCAGAAAGTGCTTTGTTTTTGTTATTGTAGGCCTAGCATCTAGCCCAGAACCTAGCCCAGCAGGCTTCTTGAATGGCTGAAAATCAAGTCGGTAAATGGAAGACCACCATGGAAAAGGGAAAGGGTTGGAAAATTCAGAGGCAGAGGAAGCTAGAAATAACCTTCACCATTTTGCTGATAGTGGCCCCCCTTTCAAACAGGCAATCCCGAGTTGGCTATGACATCTGTGGCCCGGCCTTGCCTGGGCACAGACCATGCCCTGTGGTGGCCTCACCAGAAATTTCCTCTTCTGCTTCCAGTGGCTGCCTTGCGCGTTGGTGGCCACGTGGGCTTCTGTGACCGCTCGGATGAGCTCCCATTCCTCGTCTGTTGGCTCCGGCTTGTGCCCAATGGTTTTCTGCAGTTCTTCTCGGCGCCTTTTCTCTCGGTTTTCTTCTATCAGCTTCCTCTTTGCCAACCGCTTGCTGTCATCCAATACCACTAGAAGGGGGGAGAAGAGAAAGGCACATCAACACGGGAGACCGATCGCACCAGACCATCTGGACTGTGGCTTTCTTTGTCAGAAGCTGGGAAATGAACCCAGGGATGCCAAGCACGGGGAGCCCATCAGCTCCCTAGGGAGCTTGGGCATCATCCTATGCAAAGTTTTCTCTTTCCTGCCCTTTGTTGCAAATTGCTATAGGATGTTCATCATCCAGTCTGAGCCTTGGTGCAGAATCCCAAAGAGATAGTTAGCTTAATACGATGAGCCCTGATTCACATGAGCAGGTCAGCCTCTCTGAGGATGTCAGCTCAGTGCTCCAGGCAGCTGTCAATACCTTGAAATACGACAAATTTTTGGCAAGAGTTGCAAAGGGTGGGTGGCCATGGATAGACTAGGATCTGAATCGTTGAAGGAGACTTTCAAAGATTCCTTTGAGTGTTTGATTATACTTATCCCCAGTGCCTAGGACAGCACCTGGCATCCAGAAGATGCTTGATAAATGTCTATTAGTTGACTGATACTTTATATATAAATGTTGTCTACTTCAAAAGAAGAGTCAGTCAGTTCCTCAATAAACATTAATTAAGTGCTTACTATGTGCCAGGCTTTGTGCTAAACACTGAAGAAAAAAAGAAAAGCAAAGATACTGGAGTGGTTTGCCATTTCCTTCTCCAGCTTATTTTATAGATGAGGAAACTGAGGCAAACAGGGTTAAGTGACTTGTCCAGGCCCACCTAGCTAGTACATGTCTGAAGTTGGATTTGAATTCAGTTCAGGCCCAACATCTACCATGCCATCTAGGTGCCCCCAGGAATGATACACAGTAGGCACTTAATTGTTGATTGAACCCAGGTACTCAGATGCCAAGTTTAGTGTTGTTTCTACCACATAGTACCTTCCTGTGTGAATCGTCTATGTCAACCTCCACCTGCCAGTGATTGATTCGAACACATCTAATAATAGTATGATCATCCTGGAGGATTCCAATTTTTGATAGAAAGGAAAAACACAGACAAAAATCTACAAAGATTTTCCCCTAGTGGAATATGTTCTATTGTTCCTTGGACTCTCTTCTAACATCTTGGTCTACCCATTAAGAACCACCCATAGGACAGCTAGATGAGGGGCCTTACTTGGGCCAAATCAGGGGTTCTTAATCATATCTGTGTTACAGGCCAGTCTGGCAGGTGGGAGAAGCCTATGGATTCCTTCTTGGAAGAATGGTTTATTGTCTACATTCATAACTTTCAGTTAGTGGTTAGTGAAAATAAAGATGCAATTTTCTTCCCCCCCAAGTTCATAGACTCCCTGAAATCTATCCACAGACTCCAGGTGAAGGCCCTGATCCAGATACTGTGAATTACAGTTTCTCTCTCCACTTTGGTATGAATATGGAATACTCCACCCATGGAGAAAGCAGGCTCTTGGTTTTTAATCCACCTGAATCTGAAGTCAAAGGATGTGCTATTATACATCACCTCTGCCACTTGTATGCCCTGTATGCCCTTGGGTAAATTGCTTAATCCCTCTGTGCCTCAGTTTCCTCATCTGTACAATGATGGGACGGGATCCACATCTGTGATACCACTCTGATCATCACTATCACACTGATGGAAGCAGCAGGGTCAGATCCCCGGCGTACTGAGGGGGGAAGTGAACTTTCAAGGGTTAATCACATTAGGGCTCCCTCAGTATAGAACGTCTTTATGGCTAAAAATATTGCAAGCCACATACCACAATATTCTACTTCCCATTCCTTGGAATTTTCTGAACACAGTGCCTTTTGATGCTGCTTCTGCCTCCCACCCCTTCAAAGACAAACATCATATTGATACTCTCCTGCCTGTGGTCAAGAGGATGGCTGTTTTGTGGGTTATACTAGGTAGATCTCTCACACAGGAAGGGCAATGCCATCATGGGGAAAACATGACATCAGAATGAGGAGATTAGCAGAAAAATCTTATGTTTTGTTACTTGTAGCAACCAGGCTAAGATGGTTGGTGCTCGGAGGGAAAGAGGAAGGGAAAAACCATTTATTAAGCAGCACAATGTGCCAGGCTGTGTGCTAAGCATTTTACAGATATTATCCCAGTTGATCCTTGCAACAACCCTGAGAGGTAGGTGTTATTATCCCTATTTTACAGTTGAGGAAACTGAGGCAGAAGTTAAGTGACTTGCCCAGGATCACACAGCTAGTAAATCTGAGGCTGATGTGAGCTCAGTCTTCCTGACTCCAGGTCCAGCACTCTATCCACTACATCATCCAGTTGCCACCTCTGATGCCCTGACCTTGATAACGATCAATTCTAGAAAAGACTTTTAAGATAACTGAGTCACCTTGTGCCTACGTCAAAGTAGGCTACTGTAGGAATCAGAATGATAATCTAGTAGGAAGGAATTTTGGTGGCCATCTAGGCCAAGGACAGAGATTAAAATCCTAGCTTTGCCACTTGCAACCTGGTCACCTTGGGCAAGTTGTTTGATCTCTCTGAAACTCAGTTTCCTAATCTGTAAAATGAGTCAGTTAGATGAGAGGACCTCTAAGATTTTTTTTTCCATTTCTAAATCTATCATCCAATAATCCACACATAAACAAAAATCTTTTCTACGACATATCGAGCAAGCGACCCTTCAGCTTTGCTGGAAGACTGCCAAGGGTAGGGGGAGACCTTGTACATTGGAATAGCGCTGATGGTGGGAAAGGTTTTTCCTTCCATTGAGCCTAAATTTTCCTCTAGGGATTGCTCTCCAGGCTCTGGAAGGGAGAGAGGCTCAGGACTGCCCTTCAATAGTGTGACTGTCTCCGTTCAGAAGAAAGAAAGGCAGCCTCTCCTCTGACTTCCATTACCACTACCATTTACCCCAGCAAATGGGGGCTTTCTTGGTTTTCTAGCTGCAATACACCACCACACTCTGTCCCCCTCAACCCACTCAGAAGTCAAATGAAGATGGACTTACAATCGGTTGCCATGCCAACATAGATGCATTTCTTGAAGCGACATTCCTGGCACTGGTTCCGAGTGACTTTGTCTATTACACACTTTCCTTCATATTTACAGGAATAGGATGGGTGGAGATTTTTCTGAATGGTTCTCCTAAAGAAACCCTAGGGGAAAAAGGAAACTCCTAGGTGAGAGAATTCAGGAGCATTCAGTTTTCTACCAACCAATGACCCAATTCCTCCCAGTTCCTAGTTCCATAATCCCTGATTCCCAAATTAGTTTGCATTTAATTTGTATATATGTAATATTATTTTCCTCAACAGAATGTAAGCACCTTGCGGGCAGGGACTGTTTTGTTTTGTCTGGCATACAGGAGGCAATTAATAAATGCCAGCTGAACAAAAGGATGGATGGATGGATTCTACATTTATCTAGTAAGATGAACTTAATTGGTCTTAAAGGGCCTAATGATTAAGCTGTTTATGTGTTATATAGATTATATATACATATTACACTATATATTGGAAAATCAGACCAACTTTTTCTAAAGATGGTTTGAAATATGGGTGAAGAATATGGCACAGGGTCTCCCAATCACCCTAAATCTGGTGCCTTTCTTCTGTTGATTACCTCCAATTTATCCTGCAGGCATCTTGTATGTATGTAAGTGCTTGCTTGTTACCTACCCCTTACTAGACCATCAGCTCCTTGAGAGCAGGCACTGGGTGTTTTTTGGCCATTTTTAAATATCCCCAGTGCTTAGCACAGTGACTGGTATATAAGGGCTTACTGACTGATCTCTATATATATTTTAGCGTTGATTCAGGGAGAAAGGACTTGGAAATGTGATAAATGGATTGGCAAAAGGTGAATCCAGGGTCTTCCTTTTTTCCCCTAGATATTGAAAATGATTATCATTCCATTTCTTAGGGTCTTGTGAGATTCTGTGGCCAAGTGCAGCTTCTTTAAGCTGGCTTAAATGGCATCCTGGTTCTCATAGGAGAATAAAAGGGAAAGAAATTAATCACATTAAAACCAAATACAGTTGGGTAGCATAGCAGGCAGAGCATTGGATTTTGAATGAGGAAGACTCAAGTTAGTCCACCACTTATTTATGTGACTGTGGGCAAGTCACTTAACCTCTCTCAGACTCAGTTTCTTCACTTGTAAAATGGGTTTAATAATAGCATCTACCTCACAGGGCTATTGTAAGGATCAAATGAGACTACATATATAAAGTACTTTGCAAACCCTAAAGTGCTCTATAAATATTAGCTCTTGTTATTAACATGGGGTTCATTTAAAGTAGCCCAACTTGTACATCACAGATCTGACTGGAAGGGAAGTCAGAGGTCACCCAGTCACGGATTTAGAGCCAGAAGGCATTTAGTCAAACCTCCTCATTTTGCAGGTGAGGAAACTGAAGTCCAAGAATGTTGTATAATGTGCTTAAGGTCATATAGACAGCAGGAAGCAAATCTGGGGGTCTGAACCTCGGTCTTGTGACTCCAAAGCCAGGGCCTTCACACTGCCCAGCAAGGCCTTTTGTTTCTTGTTCTTGAGCCTGATATAAACCAGCTCTGATACCCTGCAAACACCAATACATGAGGGCAAAAAGCTCTCAGCTTTCTCCCAAATGTCCACCAAAATCTATAGGATTTGATGATTTCATCTTGAAATGCTTCCTTTACTCAGTACTCATTCTCTATGTTTACTGAAGCAAGCACACTTGTTGATTCCTTGATGCAACAAGATTGCACCAGAATTGTAATTAGGTTGTGGAGAAAGGAGGTTTGGCCTGTGGCACTGAAATTCAGGGGGCAACTAGGTGGTGCAGGGGAGAGAGTGCCAGGCCTGGAGTCAGGACAACTCATCTTTCTGAGTTCAAATCTGGCCTCAGACACTTACTATCTGTATGACCCTGGGCAAGTCACTTAACTCTGTTTGTCTCAGTTTCCTCATCTGTAAAATGAGCTAGAGAAGGAAATGGCCAACCACTCCAGTATCTTTGCCAAGAAATTCCCCCCCAAAATGGGGTCACAAAAAGTCAGACATGACTGAATGACCGAATAACAATAGCAAAATGGTATTTAAAGAGTGGAAAAATTTGGAATCAAAGAATCTCAGAGAAGAAGGGGACCTCAAAAGTCATACAATTCAACCTCTTCTTAAAAAGGATTTCCTCTAGCAGTATGGAACAACACAGCATAGTATCTCATTAGCAAGAAAAATTAATTAGATTAAGAAGTTATCAGATCATCGGCCCCATCAGCAAGCCACTAGCATAACCAATTCTCATTTCTGCACAACTAAATTTAACTTAATTACTTTATATTCTTTTCACATCATGAATTGCAAAACTGATTTGAGGGCCCACTTCTTGCTATTTGCCCCAGCTGCAAAAATTGCTAGATTATGGCTCTGGGTCGTGCATTGAAGGCCCAGTTGACCAAAATTCCAATTCTTGAATCTGTGGCTAGAAAATGGGCCACCTAGTGAACTCTCTCTCCCTCAACCTTGACCCTCTTCCATCTTCCCCACTCCCATTGCTATTTCCCAGCCATCAATACTTGGATGGAAGAGAAGGCTCTGAAAGCAATGCGAGCATAAAACCTCAGATTCAGAGCAGGAAGGATCCTGGGAGATTATCTAGTCCAACCCTATCCTTTTACAGAGGCAGAATCTATTCTCCAGGAATGGACAAATTATTTATTGGTATAATGAAAATAGCCCTGACCTTAGGGCCAGATAACCTAAGGGTCCAAGTCAAAGTCTTCCATTTCTTTCCAGTGTGACCTTAGGTAAGTAGGTAAGTCACTTCAAGAACTTCAGGGGCTGTTCTTGGGGAAACATCTATATTCCTGCCCATTCTAGAGGAAGCATTGTGGTTCAGATCTGGCTGGAGATCTTCCAGCCCATATGAAAGTTACCCCTGCTATTGCTGGGGGGTATAAGCCATATTTGGACCAGGGTGAAGTAAGATTTGGCCAGTGATCATGGGGATCTCTTCTTTATTCTTTGTTTGACACTGATTTAGGCACCCCGGGTAGACTTGGGAGGAGTAAGTGTATGGCAGGGTCAGAGTCTGTGCGCAGGCATTATAAGAAGGGTATGGTGCAGGCACCTCTTTGGGAGAATTCTCCTCTCATTGCCATTCCAAGCACTGCCACCATGGGTAATGGAGGGAAGTCTTACCTTTGACAGTTTCCACCTTTCATCCTAAGTGGGCTCCTTTTGGAAATTTGAGGGGCATTCCCTCGATTATGCCCACTTTGGGTATTATGGTCCTTGAAAATGTATCAATGTATTGCTGCCAGGTTATGGGCTTACACTGGGGTAGGGTTGGTGGGGGGAGGGGAAGTCACTGTGCTAAAGAATATGTAAGATGCTACTTCCTAGCCCTGTCATCTGTCACAAAATACTTTTCTCAGAAAAGATGTGTCTCAAAGTGGACTTGAATAGATGACATTTTATTTAGTTTATTTAGAAAAATGTCTGCAGATGGATCCCTGAAGTCCCTACCTGTGGTTACAGAGAACTGCCAGGGCATGAAAAGTATTACATTTTTTATTGTATTGGGTGAATGGGAGCATTATTTAAATAATGAGAAAAGATAGGATTTGGAGGATTCTGGTGAGCTGATAGGGCATACATGTAAATGAGATTGAGAGTTCAAGGTCACCTTCTCCTTTGGGTGGGATTTGGATGGCCAAGCACCAGCTCAGAAAGCTGTTTTTAAAAACTTATGTCATCTTTAATGCTTTCACTCTCACAGCCTGTTGTAATCCTCAGGATGGTAGGCCCTGGGATACCCACAATGACCACTTGATGATACTGTCCTTCCCCTATGAGGCTGATTCTGAGGTCTGGATGAAGCATAGATTGTGCCAGAGCTGACTTGATTCCATATACACCGCTCAGCAGAATCAGAGAATTTTGAATCTTTTTGTGAAAAAGAATTTTTTTTTGTGGGGAAAGACCTTTTGTTGTTGCTGTTTTGCAGAATAATAATTATAATCATATTGTAACAGAGAACATTTTCAATTTTTTTTACACTGTCTTAAGGAGAAAAGCATTCTTTAAGTATTTTGAAGAAGAGTCATTTGGCAAAGTATCCCGTCCCCTTCTTCTTAAACTGATTTGAACTATTCTGGCCACCCCGATGTCTCTCAGCCCCCATCCCAATTTTTTGGAAGATATAATTGGTCTAGAAACAGGATCAGCATTTGGGATTTGGCCAGGTAGAGTCAGTGCCTCCCCTCTTCCCTCCTCTCCCTCTCTCCCTAAGGAGTCCGAGGCCATGTTGGTTTCTTATAGGCAGCCGTAGCTGACTCTGGCCAAAACTAACATGCTTTACTAACTGAGGAAGAGAAGCACATGCCTTTTCTGATCTTATAATAGGGGTTTGCTATATGTATGTACTCTTACATTGAACACTGGACCTGATTCTCTATGGTGCTCAAATCGATGTCTACTGGTAAGTTCGATGCATCAGGAAACACATGGGCTTTTAAAAAGTCATTGAAAGGAGTAGGAGTAATGTTCCACCAAACAAAATTGCTTTTCATGTGCCTCCTTTTTTTTTTTTTGTTCTCAATTTAGGATCATAGACTTGGAAGAGGCCCTCCTTCCCCTTCTAGATCATCCAGTCCAATCTCATCATTGTACAGACAAGAAAATCAAGTCCAGAGAGAGTAAGAATGTAAGCTCCCTGAAAGCAGGGACTGTTTCATTTTTGTCTTTGGCTCAGCACAAAGGGCTAAAAAATACTTGTTAATTGATTAGTAGATTAAGTGATTTTTCTAAAGTTATATAGTGGCTAATTTGCTTTTTTTGTTCTCACTGGTTTAGAAAAATCAATTATAGATTTAATAATCTGATAAAAACTAGAAATATAATCAGAAATTTGAACCTAGGTCCTTGTCCAAATCCAGACTAGCCACTTCATGGAGATTCTAGGAAATAACTTCAATACGGCAGAGAATCCCAACATCCAAATTCAGTTAGAATAAAACTTCAGTTCTCTAGACTAAGAAGAAGGAAGGCCTGGTCTAAAATAGCGAACCTAAATTACAGAGCCATTTAGAGAAATACAATTTTACTATTTTCAAAGAAATATAATCATTTAAACTAAAGTTTTAAAAAATTGTTTCCAGAGAGAGGGCCTGCTTTAATGAGGTAAAGACTCACTTGTAATTATCGCTGTGGATTTGCCTGTAATCAATGAGCTCCTGCCCTTAAGAAAGATTTCTCCATGTACAGATCAAAGGCAACCCTTAGCCTAGCCCTGGTTAAATGATCAGAAATTCAAGACGAGCTGGAGAAAAATGAGGTCTGATCGCACTCACATTTTAAAGAACATCTCAGTAGATTTAAGACTGTTGTCTCGGAGACCAGGGCTCTACTGTGTCACTTCAACATTTCTTGTGTGCTGACTGACAGTCCCATTTAATTTAATTTTAATTTAATTTAATTTAGTGTACAGATAAGAGGAAGCAGGACATTCTCATGAAATATCTGCCATTAGAGAACTGACTTCCCACCTTAGGCTGGCAGAGGCCCCATGTGCCAATTATCTGGCCATGTATAGTGTATAACTATGTATGTGTGTGTGTGTGTGTGTGTGTGTGTGTGTGTGTATGTGTGTATAGTGTTTGGTCATGTATATGACTATGTGTAGTCTCTTAAAATGCCCTTTGCTAAGATGGCCAAGGGGAGCTTGTTGCTCAGACCAGAGATGATTTCTTTTATTATTCATTTTAATACCCTAGGGAAATTTTTCAGAGTGAATTTTATAAATTGAGTCAGAATACATACACATACATTTGCCTCTTTTCTTAACCTAAAAGATTTTTCTATCTATAATCATTTTTTAACTTGTAAAATGTTGATCTCAGTCTTCATTTTGTAATGAAGTGAACTTTAAGTTGCTTTTCCAGAAAAAAACCAACTTCATTTAAATCCAACAATGTTTAAACTTTGTTTCAGGAGGTGCATAAACTGTGGCTAAACTGGGTTTGGCATGGTATTACAAAAGCTGCTTCTTCAAAGCATAAAAATGAATTTGTAGGACCATAATTATCTACTGAATATTTGCTGTGTACACAGATTATGTGGATAATCAAAGACCATAATAGAAATACCAGTGGCCTCAAAGAGGCTTGCTTAATGGAGTTCTCAAAGGTTCACTTGATTTCCTCTCTTAGGGAAGTTTATGCCTGCAACTAAGTAAAATACATCTTCTGAAATCAAGTGTATGGGGATAAGCTGGTTTGGTCCCAGTATTGGGTTAGTTGTATTTGCTGACCTGCTGTCTGATGCTCTTGATGTTATTTTCCTTTTCTTAACCTAATAAGACTGGTTTGCTTTTAGTTACAACATGAGGTAAAAGTGAATGTTAATGGGAGGATCTACTTACTTATTTATTTATTTGCTTATTTATTTGTTTGTTTGTCTGTTTATCTATCTATCTATCTATCTATCTATCTATCTATCTATCTATCTATCTGTCTGTCTGTCTGTCTGGCAATTGGGGTTAAGTGACTTGCTTAGGGTCACACAGCTAGTAAGTGTCAAGTGTTTGGTCTGAGGCTGGATTTGAACTTCAGGGCCAGTGCTCTATCCACTGTGCCACCTAGCTGCCCCAATGCCTGGATTTAAATAAGAGGAGTGTCCCAAGGGGTAGGGGTTAAGTTAAATGTAGTATCTGGAGTTTGAGTGCTAAGTAGACTCTGAGGGGATAGGGGCTACGTAAATGCAAAATGAGAAAGAGGCATATTGTGATAATGGAATGTGAAATCACCTACATAAAAAGGTAACAGGGAATGACAAATGAGGGTAAACTAACACAGAAAATATTAAAGAAGCTTGTTTGTGCAATTTATCAAATGCCTACAACAATGCTGATTGGAAGAAGTGAGACCCTGACGATATCCCATCCCATACTTTTTAGTTGTTTTAAAATCACTTCGATACTATTAAAAATGAGCAATGGACCAGATGGTTATGGGCAACAGATGTTGCAGTCCAGGCCTAATCTGCGATTCTAGGGATGTGATGTTCATGCTCCCGAGCTTTCGGTCACGAGAAAAGGAGCTGGCTTGCTGGAGTCCTGCAGCCAGATTATTTACCTTGCAGCCTTCACAAGTGATGCATCGGTAGTGATAACCAGTGGCTTTGTCACCACAAACTACACATAGCTCGTCCTTGTCTAAGTAACTGGGTATGTACCCTGTGAAGGAGGAAAAAAAAAGGGAATGACATGTTAGACGTCAAAGACACACCACACCAGTGACTGCTCAGAGCCAGAGCCATCTGGCTGCCTATGAGCTGTGGCGGGGACTCCCCAAGAAGAACTCATGCAACACAAAAGTTATCTCTTCACACAACCAGTGCCATCATCTTCAACCCCAGGGTGTGTTTACATGCAACATTATCACCTCCATCGTCATCTTTGTGCTTATGTAAAAAGGAGATGGAGAAGAGGGAGACTGAACATGGTCACAACAACCTGTTGAATTCTGAGAGTCACTGTTTGGATTCTTGAGCTGATAAAATTACCTTTATCCCCATCAAGTTTTTTCAGGGTCTGGTCTTAGCAGTGAATGCCAAAGCAAATTTGATTCTGTTTGGGATCACAGGCACTACGTAGTGGCACAGAAATATTTCCAGGCTGGACAGGATCCCAGATTAGTGAATCCAAATGTCTCCTTTTATAGAGCAGGCTTGTCCAGGATGACATAAGTTTGTGGCAGAAATGGGGCTCAAATCCAGGTCAAAGAAGTTTGACTTCCAGTGTGATAAAAACAATTCAGGTTAATTGTCTCTATTGGAAAGATTTAACTTTTAATACAGACTGAATGAATTAATGGATTTATCTACACAGAAAAATTATTTAGGTTTATAATTATATGAAGTGGAACCTCTACCCCACCAAAAAAACCCAGACCCAGTAGGGAATGAATGGGAGGAACTGAGATATAGGATATAGGAGGCAGCATGGTGCCCTGGATTTGACGTCAAATCATAGATCTTTCACTTACTACCTGTGTGACCTTGGGCAATTCACTTAGCTTTTCAGTTAGCCTCAGTTTCCTTCTCTGGAAAACAAGAGTGTTGAACTAGATGATCTGTGAGGTCTCTTCCTGCTCTAAATCTGTGATTCTATGGTCTTAGTCCTAAAAAAGAAGTCCAAATTAAATTATGAAGACTTTAGTTGCTGTTAGTAGAATTACTGTTTTCTCTTTGGAGCAGGAAGTGGAACCCGACCATAGTTAGCCCACTTCTCACTTGTCTTTGTCTGTTTTGTTCCCATCCAAGTCAGTAAACATGTGTGTGTGCATACACATGAAAACTGACCCTGAGAATGGCTGATTCCATTTTCTTTGTGAGCCCTAAAAGTCTTTCTCCTTCTGACTACTGAGGGTTGCATGGAGTCTGGCCAGATTCAGAAATCAAACCCACACATGACTTAGGGGATGAGGTGGAGGGAAAAATAGCTATGTATGTATAGGTATGCATGTATACACACACACACACACACACACACACACACACACACACACACACATATATATTTCTCCCTTCTGATTATGGCTCTTCCTAAAGTCTTTTTAGTTTTCAAATGCCTAATTATTTTCAGGGAAAGTTACTTCAGGGCAGAATGATAGGAAAGATTTACCATACTCTTCATGACATTTTCACAAGTTTTTTTAAATTAAAAACTGAGGTCAAGTTTGTCACTCAGAAAAGTAGCCTTGAAGAAAAAACTAGAAGAAAAATGAAACTTTCTGTAATTCTTCAGAACTTTTTTTGTTAGAAATATCTGATCTCTCCTTTTAGGGGATGGTCCAGATAATGATGATGATGATGTAATAACAGCTGCCATTTATACAGGGCTTTATAGTACAGATAGACTCATAATAGGGTTAGAGCTGGGAAGGGACCCTAGTGACCATCTAATTCAAACTTTTTATTTTACAGATGAGGAAACTGAGGCCCACAGAGGTTTGGAGGCAGCAAGGTGGTACAGTTCATGGGGTGTCAGACTTGGGAATCAAGAAGATCTGAGTTCGAATCTGGTCTCAGATATTTCCTCCTAGTTGTGTGATACTGGGCAAATCATTTCAGTTTCCTTACCTATAAAATGAGGATAAGAAGAGCACCTACCTCCCAAATGAGCTAACATATATAAAGCGCTTTCCAAACCTCAAAGGGCCATGCTAGCTATTTTTATTAATAAGTGACTGCCCCAAGGTCATATAGATTAAAGAGTTAGGTTTCAAACCCAGGTCCCATGATGCCAAACCTAGCACTTTTTTCCATTGTGCCACACTGTTTCAAAGATAAAGGCATTCAGAAATCAATTTGCCAGCATCCTGTGCTTCATTTAAAGTCTAGATGGCTTTTCCGATTTGTCTTTGCATCATGCAAAAACAAAGATTAATCCAGTGAGTTAACTCCCATGTGTTTCAAAGCACCATCAGTGAGAAAATTGGAAGCAGTCAGTCATTGGAGGGGTTAAAGAGGAGGAAGAAAAGAGATGGTCCTGGTCTCCTCCTGCATTCCACTCTTTGTGACCAATTTGGGATTCTCACCCTGATTATTTTTCTTCCCGACTCTGGGGAAGGGTGCATGTTGGGGATGTGATGGAGGCAGGCATAGGGAGGAAAGAAGAAGCAGAAAGCAAGAGAGGAGAGGGTGTGTGTGTGGGGTGGCTCTAGAGAATCCAGAAGTGGAAGAGTGTAATTAACACTGCCTCCAGAGCTAGCACATCCTGGGAAGAGATGGGTACGACTTTGGCAGTGTCAAGAATCCGAATCCATAGGAGGGATGCATGTTCTGTGGTGCTACTACTTCACTGAGGGAGAGGGTGGTGACTTAGTTACTGAAATAAGTCAATCAGTCAGTCAATCAACAAACAATGATTAAGCACCTCTCATGGGCCAGGCACTGGGGATACAAATAAAGCAAGCCGGTCCCAGAGGACTGGTGGTGGTGATTGATGGTAGTGAGGGAGCGTTGGCTGATATTGTGTTAGGGGCGGGTAAGAGATGCAAAACTCTGATTGGCTGGAGGCAGCGAGCTGGTCATACAGACAGACAATCAGGCTTTCAGACATTCAGACAGACAGACTCATCAACGACTTTGAGGATGGTTCACAGTCTGAGTTCTAACTGGCTAGGAAAGATTTTAGTGGATCCAGAAAAGTTCCAGGTCATTGGATCACACGCAGACAGCTGCAGATTGGCAAGTGAAGTCAGCCTGGCACAGGACAAAGTTTTATCTTTGGTAGAAAGTGCAGATCCCTCATTGCAGTGGAGAGGGCATGTGCAGATGCAACCCCTCAAAGGGGCCATAATTCTTCAGCGATGGAGCTGTTCCCTTTCAAGGTCCTAGGTTTCTGTTTTGCTTGGGTTACTTGGGTTAGCCATACCACCAGCTGCAGGGTGGAGAAGCTACCAGCTGCAGAGCAATCTCCCTCCATGGAGGGCCAGGGACTGGACCAGCGATTTCATTGACGTAAAGAACTGGGTGAAAGCACGCTCTCCACCGAAGCAAGTTGGCACCTTGGCAGCTTATTGTCTTAAGAGGGTTGTCTAGAGGAGCATGACATTAAGTGACTCACCCAGGGTCACAAAGCAGGACTGGACTCAGGTCTTTCTGGCATCAAGGCCAGCTCTCTCTCTTCTAGGCCATACCTCTTTTCCTTCTCCTCCATGTACAGAGATGAAAACTGGAGACCTGCACACAGACGCTGAGCCTAGGTCTCAGCAATGGGCAGCACTCATTGGTTTACCTGAGTTGTGTACTTCCTTTGAATTCTCAACGCTTCACTTTGAGCTGTACCATCCTGACTGTAACACTCCCCAAGTAAACTCCGGTGGCCCTTTCTCCATGCACAATTCATTATGTTCCCAGCTTACACAACTGCTGAGCCCCACGTCCTTTGGGCACCTCAGTCTTGTGGGTAATTGATGGAGCGAATATTCTAATTGAATAAGACATAGCAACCGCAACAGAATAACTCAGAAGGCCCTCATCCCCAGCCCAGACTCCGGGAGCCTTTCCATGATAATAGGCAAAATAAAAAGCAATACAAACTGGGCTTCGTGCCTAGAGAATTAACTGTTCATCAAACACTGTGTGCGACTGGGGGGATGGAGGAAGAAGAGAGAGAGAGAGAGAGAGAGAGAGAGAGAGAGAGAGAGAGAGAGACAGACAGACAGACAGAGACAGACAGAGAGAGAGAGACAGAGACAGAGAGAGAGAGACAGACAGAAGAAGAAGAAGAGACAGAGACAGAGGCAGAGAGAAGACAGAGACAGAGATAGAATGAGAGAGAGAAGGAGATAGAGACAGAGACAGAGAGAGACAGAGAGACAGAGGCAGAGACAGAGAAAGAGAGAGAGAGAGACAGAGAGACAGGAAGAGACAGAGACACACAAAGAGAAGGCTGAAGTTTCAAACATCCATAGAGATACAAACAAGGGGACTGTATTAGCTAGTCCTCTGGACCTGCCTGGGCCCCACAGCTGACACAAGTGCAGAGGATTTTTGCAGGTGCAAGCAACAGGCCGTAGAACCTGGGGCTGCGCAGATTCAGCCTGCTGACTGTCAGGGCTCTGGAATTCTGTTCTCACTCAAAGTTCATTGTTGTTGTTGTTGCTACGGCCCCTGTCTAACTCCTTGGCACCACTTCACCAAGATTGAACCGAGGCCTTGAACATCATAACATCCTGTTCTTGGCCCCTGATTCTCTCTGGATGGACAGCCTTGCCGTGACTTGGCCAGGACATGACATCTCCTCTTCTGGAGCTGTCAGCACCCTTGAAATCGCCTCTTGGTGGCATGGAAGTGGTCCTGATCCCAGCACTGTGTGTCAAGAACTGAAGAAAATGTGTGTTGATCCCCTACAGAAACCAGATTCCCAAATCAAGTCTGTAGGATCGTAGGGTCAGACATTACAGACTTCGAGCTGGAGGGGTCCTCAAATGCCATCTAGCCTAGGGGTTAACTTTTTTTTTTTTGCATCATAGACCCCTTGGGCAGTTTGGTGAAGCCAAGGATCCCTTCTCAGAATAATGTTTTTAAATACATAAAATAAAACACATAGCATTATTTTAGTTGCTAAATATAAACAAAATACGTAGCATTATAAAAGAAACGAGTTAGAAATAAATGATACATAATTATAAATAAATTACAAATAAAGCTGTAATTTTTTTTTCT